ATTATTTCAACATATAACAATAACAAATGAACTATACAATCGTGTACGGAGCGTGCCACTTGTCACCATCCTAGTTGCTTAAAAAAATCGATCAAATTGCAACCGTATTATCTAAAGCATTATTATTGGTTGACTTGGATATCATTCGATCAGTACAACTGTATACTAAGCAATTAGTTAGACTGTATCTCCACTGGCACATATCTATTGAATATTATTGTGCATCTTATTGTTGAACATCAAACTGAAACCGAAGACGTTGGATTTAGTTATGCAAAAGCTGTAGATCGGTGAATGTAACAGCCGCAAGCTATCTGTATGTTGTTATGGGCCATTAATACCAACGCAATTTCTGCGCATTGATTATCATTGATGTTGATAATACGTCATTGATTAAGTCCCTGATCACGAGCTAAAATTTTCGCGTCAATTAGTTGTTATCCTATTACAGTAGCATCAAATTAGCGAGAATGTCTGGTTGTCTGTCACCACAGCTAATTGCAGCTCTACAGTACCCAGGTAAGCCCATTTTTGTGAAATTCGATTCAGTTTCATCGATAGTACTAAAAGCTCTTCCTCAAGCATACTGGAATCGAGCGCCGTCCAAATGGGGAGGCATCTCAGACTGGGACATATTTATCGTAAAAGAAGTACCAGGAATGAACAGACATACCGCTCATGCTACGCTTGCGGCTGAACTGAAACTTCTTGAGTGCGAACTACCAAAATCCAGCGTCGCTTATCGGCAAACGCTTACTATGAAAAGTTGCCTCGAAGTATGTAATTATTTTCATTCCTACGTTGAAACCCTCTACCATGATGATCGTCAAGACATCCCGCGGTGACTGTCGAGCGACTTTGCGGTGGGAAGTGCAACTGTACGATGGTTTGCGCGATCAGCATATAGCTACGTAGTATTCACATTTTGTCAACTTACTGTACATTTTATCAAAAATGAGGACTGCAAAAAGGATCCGGCAAATACCAAGTTATGGAAAACGCAAATGAACGCTTTAACGGATGCTGCAATCAGAAGCAGAATAGACTTGGTAATCATGTGCAACTTCTCCAGGACTTTTGAGGTTTCATTCTAAACGTTATTCAAAAAATTAGTGCAACCTTGAAAATGCGGCGTTTAACACTGGATTAGTGCTCGCTATTGAAAAATTTCGGGCATTAAGAGCTGCGTACGTAATGTGCCTGTAGTTAACCGTATCGAATTGGTCTCTAAGTTTCCATAATAATTCTATATACAGTATCTTGGAAAACACGGAAAAGGGTTTGGTCTCGCCTCCACCTATGAAGCAAAATCTTGAAGATGAGTCGGACTCTAAACCTCGGGTCGGATATGTGTTTGCATATAAAACGAGAGGTCGATCAATAAACTGATTGGCTCGTTTTATGTAGAGTTTTAAGAAGAGGAGGCTATTAGGCATTGACTCAGATAGTGATGACGATGAAGGTAACCACGAAGAAGATGAAGGGGAAGGGGAAGTAGAAAGCGACGAAGAGGTTATATGTGCAGACGCTTTTCAATATACATTTGATGAAGCTGTATCCTGTAATGATTCAGAATGGAAGCTAAAGAATGGCAAACCGGTGGCAGAAATTTTGGCAAGTAGCGCCATGAAAGCGTTAGAAAATTCAAAAATGGCTGCAAAAAATCCCGATGCATTTGTGAACAGTAGCATCAGGTATGGTGTGTTATCAACGATACTTTTGTTATGGCTGGCAAGAATTACTGATAGCTTCATAATAGCCTTGGGCTATCGTGTATTGTTGACCTCTCATCGAAATTTTCCAATGGGATGTACACATGGTTCGGCGATGAGTGGACTGCCTTGAAAGCCAAAGTGTATGAACGTGTCAATGTAGTACCAAAACCTTTTGAAGGTGTTATAAAGGAAGTGATTGATCGGATTGATACGGTATGTTCAAACAATTGTCGTTCCTTAATTCTATATCAATTGACTCTTCTGTATTTCAGTTTTGTCGGGCTTACGAATATTGGGACGCACGAAACTTCCTCCTAGATCAAATGAAGGATCGATCTTGCACAGTCCTATATAAACAGATAATAAAAATTTATTTCGCTGTGTATGATTTCGTTGCTCTTTCTCATGGCTTGGTTATGCCGTGATTGCTAAAAAACTGAAACGAATTTCCATTTACTAGTATCGATATGTTTTTGGCAAATCCGTGCACATTTGTGGATCAAAGTGGCCAGAGAAAAAAATTGACAGAGATGGAATTTGTTTTGAAGATAGCAGCCCCGATAATCGACATCATTTTTTCCGATATAAAAGATTTGGTCGAAGTTCGATGGTATGTATCAATGTCACTGTTACTGTCACTCATTAGCATATTTATAATTGTTTGATCTTTGCATAGGGGTGAGACCGAGACAAAGTGTGCGTCTAGATGCAGAAAAAGCGATATGAGAATTGTCCATCAAACTCGCGACATCGAACTCAGCCATACTGAATATGCCCAAGCTCCTATGCCTTGTAAGGTCGTCCGCGATCGTTCCAAGTTACTGAGAACCAACAAGTGTGTACTTGACCATTATCTGATGCAGGATATTCCAGCGAATGCAGAAACGACAGTGTTTGGCTTACAAGTTGTTGGTGAGGTTTTGTACATGGTTATATACAGCTTGGCAGCAACGATGTTTAACATTTTATTATATATTAGGGTTGAATGCTCAGTTAATCGGTATCGATATTTTTGACTGCGGTCTCTATTTCGGCCTGGAAGGAGCTACGTTTAGCTTTCCCTCGCAGTTGTCGCAAATTACAACTTTACGGAGGGCTCTAGAAGCTTTATATTTTTTTAAGGTAAGCTTTTTAGGCTTTACTATGCGCCATCCAGATACTATTTGTGCAAAATATTTAATCTGCAATATCATCAGGACAATATTAAACGTAAAGCCATTGCCTTACCTGATCCTGTTGCGGAGAGGAACCCCTACCATAGAATATTTCACAGTATAAACCCAGAGACGTTGAAACCAAAACATCATAAAGCAAGTTTTATAAAGCCCACGTTTTTTACTTCCCCAAAGGAAATGTAAGACGCTGGAATCCAATAACCAGGTATATTAAATGTCTATTTTTGCGCTATTTTTGCACTTCTTTGAGTCATCAAGGTAAACGTTTGACAAGAATGAAAAACCCTAATGGAAAACATAAATGCATGGCTCGTGTCTAATAAGGGTGCTATTTGCGGAGCTGTTCACCTTAAACAATGGTTATTAAATATGTGTGATCCTTGAAGTAATCTAATGAGTACCTTTGGCATGTTGTAATGCGATCTGAAAAGTATTGACCGAATCGAGTCTTGCATCATTGCTTTGGATATTTGACATACTAGTATTCACATTCAAAGATTCCTGAAATTCATTAGCTTTATAAAATACAGCACAATCAGTACAAACAACATATAAGTCCATTAGGGGTGTTAAAAGAGGCTGGGTGTTCTATGTCAACAATTACTCCAGATATCTATGCTTGAAGGTAGATATACCATGTAACAAATTGTCAGGCAAACGATGAATTGCATTAGCTTGAGGAAAAGATGATGCAGCCACTGATATCTACATCCTACTCATCAGATTGACTCAGTGACATGTCTCAATCGTACCTGAGAGACGCATATCAAGGACAATAACTTGCTGATTACATAGAGGCATAAAGTAGAAGCATTCCCTTGTTTTGGTAAATACAATACCTGCTGATGACCTACCAGCAGAAACTTTGAGCACGCCTCATTTTATATGGCAAGTCAATGGGGGAGGCCAACAGTGTGATAAAAAATATATATATGATTACCCGTATATGGAAATTTATAGTTATAATGGTTCGTTTCCTAGAGATAGGTTGCAACTGTAGTTGTTCAAAAAAGATTCCGAGAGAAAGTTTGCCAAATTACGTGAGGCGTTTCAAGCTCTCTCTAGATCCGAGCAAGATATATTTTTAATGGCCCAGCTAAAAGCAAGAATGGTGGAGAAATAACTGCCAGCTGACGACGCCTTAAAAAAAACGCGTAACTTTTTATTATTGAGACCGCAATACACCGCGCCTCTGTATCAGAAAACATATTTAATATGTTGGAAATTGGTCGCACTCACTTCGAAAACGTCAGAAATCACCTAGCGACGAATGGTATAATACCGCATTGTTCGTGGTGATAATGTAAAAGTGCCGCAATGGAAAATCAAAATGACCATTGATATAACAGTTGCGACTGCTGCACAGGCTACTAATAAATGTCAATCGCATTACTCAATCGCTTACAGACGCTGGTTTCAAATGGATTCATCAATTCCGCCATCAGGCTCATCTGTATCTTCAGATACTATAAACATTACATTGATATTCAGGTGCTGATTCCTATTTATTATTCTCAGACAGAGATTTAGTACAAAATCTGGTTGCTGTTCTGTTATATTAAACAACTCAGCAGTTACCTCTAACCAACATGATGCTATATATGATGTAGTTGTGGATAATGACTAAAAGTTTGAAACAACCACCCACTTCCTGGAGTGACAAAGGGAAATTGGTGTACTATGGAGGTATGTGATTAACAAATATAACTGTGTACATGTATGAAAATAGATACTACACACAGTAAATCTTCTAAAGTTGACCCTCTAAAGGAACAATTTTATTCAAACAATTATCTACTGAAACTGCTGAACTCATCCCTGTTGACCAGCACGTATAA